TACAGAAATACTTGGGTGATGGTCCAAAGCTTGTGAGGGAACTTTTCAGAGTTGCTGACGATCTTTCCCCTTCGATTGTCTTCATTGATGAAATTGATGCTGTAGGTACAAAGAGGTGAGTTGTTGAGTATTGACTTCAAATCCACATGTTTGTAAAGAAACCTTGGGTCTGATGTAGTTTGGCAACAAAATTGATGTGCTTGATCACTTTTTAAGCTTTTAGGATTGTGTTTCCTCCCATTAATGAGCTTAACTGTTGACATCTTACAGGTATGATGCCCACTCTGGGGGAGCGTGAAATTCAAAGGACAATGTTGGAGTTGTTGAACCAGTTAGATGGTTTTGATTCAAGAGGAGATGTTAAAGTGATTCTAGCTACCAACAGGATTGAGAGTCTTGATCCTGCTTTACTGCGACCTGGTCGTATAGACAGGAAGATAGAATTTCCTCTTCCTGATATCAAAACAAGGAGACGCATCTTCCAGGTAGGCATTACTGATTTTATGAAAGCAGTTTGCTGAATCTGGTTTCTGCTTATTCTCTAGGATAGCTTAGTATTCACGATCTAATCGATCATCTGACTAAGTACCTCTTGCTTTTAAAATTTAGATACATACATCGAGGATGACGTTAGCTGATGATGTCAACTTGGAAGAATTTGTCATGACTAAGGATGAGTTCTCTGGTGCTGATATAAAGGCAATTTGTACTGAAGCTGGCTTACTTGCGTTAAGAGAACGCCGTATGAAGGTTAGTGGGGCCTTTTTTTCATTTTAATTTTTATAAAGCATTATTGGGCAAGGTAATGCCATGACGCAGAAACTGTTTAATGATAGGTGTTACGGAGTTGGGAGTTTTGTCAATGTCATTTTAAAATGCCCTAAACCTATCAAGGTTGAGATAATATAGCATAGGTTGAATCTCTTGGGGAGTTTGGTCAATATCATTTTAAAATGCCCTAAATTAAATCTATCAGGGTTGAGTAATATGGCCTGGGTTGAATCTCTCTGGGTGAACATGTCAAGGTTTGGCAACCTACACCAAATGGAATTAGTGTGAAAGAAATGAAGGGCCACCCGCACCTAGTTCATCATTTTTGGTTTTATCACTAATATAATTTGGATTGTACCTATGGATACGGTTATGAGTTGTGCTAAAAGTGCTTTCTTTTTAAGAACGTGATGGTTATCCACTTGTTTGAATGCCTTTGTTTTTTTTTTCTTTGGAAAAAAAAAATCTATGTACCTTCATGACTTGAAAATGCTTTTTATCTTGCTTTTAAATTTTGTATCCCATTCTTCAGGTAACGCATGCGGATTTCAAGAAGGCAAAAGACAAGGTGATGTTCAAGAAGAAAGAAGGGGTGCCAGAAGGACTTTATATGTGAAATATAATCTTGCGCCATTTCAGACTTGGTTCTAATGCTATTGTTCAGCCAAAAAATTTTTATTTGTTTGCGTCGTGGAGATTCATCCGCACTAGTTGTTGGGCATGACAGCATGGTATTTGAATGTGAACTATATTGAAATTTAGTTGATCATTTTGTTCACTGTTAATTTCTAGTCTCATTAGCTAATTACGAGATTTACGCAGTCATCCGTATTTATAATAAGCGTAATTTCATGGAATGTGCAAATTTGGACTAAAGTTTGGGAGCGTGAGCAGACAGAAATATTTGGGTGCCATAATTTCTCGAAGTCCTCGAGATTCAGGCGAAATTGCGTGTTGTTCTGCCTTTGTTTAATTTGTAAGATCTGTTTAACTAATTTAATTAAATTGAAAAAAATTAGGTAAGTTATTTAATTATAAGAAATATAATATATATATTTTAAAAATATTATAATTATTTTTTTAATTTTTTTTTCTCTATTTGATTATGGTTAAAAAAAAAATCAATAAATGTAATTTAAAAATTTGATAAATATAAAAAATAAGTTTTATATTTAGGATTAAGATCAACATGATAATTAGGCTTTATATTTACACTTTCCTTGAAGTCATTTTCTCTTGCTTAATTATCTATAGTAGGCAATCCATGACTTCAGCTAACGGTTTAGATCCATGGTGAGTAGTTTAAACCAAGAAACAAACCGATCCATAAAACCAACTCGAACTAAAATCTTGGACCAAAGGGAAAACAGAAAACGTACATTATCCTGGGGATGACCCTGTCACCGTGCATGACAGTGCAGAGAAACAAGATGATCATAAGCATCGCTTACATTTGTAGTGAAAAAAGATGGCGTCCAGCTTGAGTATTGAATTTAGTTAACTGATAATTGACATTTGCAGGCTTCAAGCTAATGGCTTTTCTACCCATCAATTGAATTGGTTTAAACGAGTAATTTATTTTCAAATTCTTGGTCTAATTTAATGAGGTAGGGTTTGAGTTACGCGATAAATAGACGTCGAGCGCAAGATTCTAGCTCAAGAATTTTTTAATTGTGAATGTGAAGAGAGATCATCATATCCCATTATAGCAGATATGCTGCTCAGATCCACCAGTCTAGTTTTAACATCTCTATCGACCTTTACTTTTAAACTGTAAATTCTCTATTGACCTTGACTTTTAAAATTTCTTCCATTCAATACTGATGTCAAGTCTCTGCTTCTCCCCTCCCCCCCTCTTTTTGCTCCTTTCTTGTCAGTCCTGAAGAAAATCATTCTATTTACTTCAAAGAAATTATAATGAGAACTAGGTCATTGTGAACAGGGGATAAGTGTGTAGGTAATGGAGCAATGTCAAAGTCAGATATTTGAATCAGATTCATCAAACCCATTTGCAAATTAATGGCTGAGACTGAGCGCTAAGAAGAGAAAGGGAAAGGAAAAGAAAAGGAAGGGAAGGGGGCATGAATCTGGGCTCCGAGGCTATAGTGTGGTCACCCCATGGGACCACTTATCACATGTTCTCCACCTTCCATTCTTCATTATTACACCTTTCCTGCTCCTTTTCTTGTTCCATTATGAGCATTCCGGATTCCCAATTCAACTTCTCAATCAACGGCTTACATGAAATCACAGTACCAAAAACGAAACAACAGCCACACAGTAATGAATGTGCTAGTATTATGACATTGAGGTATATATATAATTTAGAATTTGACCAAACAATCAGTCGTGGAAAGCCCTGCAAATGCATTGCTCTCAAAAGAATTGAGGCTTCATCCATAAAGAAGCGGTCTTTTAGCATCTTGTATTTGCGCCTTGTATCTGCTTCCTCTAACCGTATCACAAGTACAGAATGACTCTCTGTGGCTATCACTCTCAAAAATTTGAGGGGGAAAGGAGAGGAGTAAGAATAATAATGACGAGGACGACACGAAAGAATCCCTCTTTTCGAAGATGGCAATAATTTTACATGTTAGTAGTTTGTATAGATTAGGTTGCTACTAAGAACAGATAATAACTTCCTTCTCTTACACTACAAAACTTGGCAGCTATGCTATGGATGCCAGGATAGTAACCTGCAATGCACACACAAGTCCGTTGTTAATGAAAATTATAATTATTTCATGCAATATTCCTGCTTCAACACAAAATATCCTACCATTGTCAGTGTTGTTAGTTCCAGCTATAGCAACAGTGAGAGGCGCCATTAGTATCTTTTTCTGGTTCTGTGCCTGATAGTTACTCTGTGGCAACAGGTAGAATTCAGTAAAATTTTATAAGAAGCCAAAGAATTATTAATGCTGATCTATAATATGAAGAAGACGGGCATGCCCTGTCTTATCAAGTGATAATTATGTTGCTACATTGATTTAGATAACATGCTTCTTCTCACACATAGTAAGCAACCAGCTCCTGAGGTTAACATTCTACAGAAGCTTGAGAATGAAACCCAAGAACACAGTAAGCTCAAAGTAAATTTTCACACTATCAAGCGTCCTTTCTTTTCCACCATAACTAGCAAATTTCTGTAGATGACTGAGATATAGCATCGTATCCATACCTGGTTGACCGGGTTGATTATTTTCTGCATTTTCATGGCTCTTAATGGTACTTGGTTTGCTGACAGTTGGGTTGTTCATTGCCTGGTTCTGTTCAAGAAAATCAGTCTCATAAATAAATGTGCTCATCCATTGAAGCTCATAAAAGATTGACCTTCAATTGTGATCGATAAAGGAAAAAGAGTTCGTCAAGAATCAATGGCAGTTCTCGAGCACCAAAAACCAACTTCGCACGAGCAAACAAATTTGTTTGACTTGTGGTAAGTCTTGGGAGTCAGTGCAGTCATCTCAAGGATTACTTAGTAAATGAGGCATCTAAATAAGACTGATTTATAAATAGTTGGAAACCCGATAGGTCAGAGGTATGGCGAGATTACTTTGGGGGGGGGGGGGGGGACAGTAAATGACAATATTTACCTGCATGAACTGTAGATGCATCTGGTGGGGACCAAGGCATTGCTGATAAGGATCACTAAAGTTTGGGATCCGTGACTGACTGGGAACAGGTGGGACAAGAGAAGGAGGCATATTATTTCCGGTTGATTTGGAGCGGCTGCTTGCATTCTAGATGAATCAGGCTGAGGGGCATGAGGCATTTGGAAATGAGGCATAGGGAACCTTGGTCCCAATTGAGCTGCCGCCGCCGGTGGCATAGCTGAAGCAGCTAACACATTGGGAAATGGCATTAGTGGCCTATTCATTCCCATTTCCATGCCCATGCCCATGCCCATGCCCATCCCCATCCCCATCCCCATCCCCATCCCCATCCCCATTGGTGGCATATACTGTTGGATTCCGGGAAACATCATTGGTACCATCCCACATCCCATGGACATCATCTGCATACATGAATTATAGTCATGATTGATGATATGTCAACATGGATAGAAATATGCATGATGATTCCATATTTGATCACGACAGTTATAGTACATGCCTGAATCAATGGATGTGGAGCTTGTTCTGATGAAAGCTTTTGAATAAGAATGCAACAGGAGGTTTATGCATTTTTACCAAAACCTTTTGTTGAGTTGAGGGTCGGTCAGCTTAAAGATTATGTGCATTTGTAGGTGTACTTAGAAGATAGAAGAAACGAAGAATTCACCTGCACTTGTAATTGCAGTGACTTCAAATATTCAATTGCTTCATCCAGCATTGAAGCTTTGTCGGACTGAATCAGAAAAGCAATGGAAGTTATAAATCACCATTAGGAAGAAAAATTAATTCCAAAACCCTTCACCCCATATGCCCAAGAAATTAGTAGTAAGACTGTGAGACCTTATTGCAGCGAGGGATAAGTTCTTGCAAGGCTCTCATCTTTTCATTAATCCTATCTCGACGCCTCTGCATGTGAATGTAACCGTAAGAAGATTATGAACAGTAAGAAAAAGATATCAACATGTTAATTTTTACACGAATGCCATGCACTGACCCTCTCCGAGAGATTATGAACCTCTGCAGCACGGGATCTTTTAGTAGATGATGATCCGCAGTTTTGTTTCTTGGCTTCAGCAGATTCACCGTAGACATCCTTTCTTGCAAGAAAACAAATGGAAAGTAAGAAGCAAAGGAAGATCAGGAAGAGATAACAACTATGGAAAGAGCCTTTGATCTGAGTCATGTTCCGTTGCAAGTGACAGCTTCTTCGCAGAAGAATCTGAGTGCATGACCTGCTAACTTTAATTGGGTTTATGTCAGTTCTTAGTCCTAATTGGCTATGGTTTGAGTGAATGACAATCTAGCAAAAACATCTTACTGGCTCCAAAAGCTTCTCGTTGACCACTGGAATAAGTTGATAAGCTTGGCCAATGATTACGTTCTCCAACCGTTTTAAAGCAAATTAAAGTCTTAAACAACCCTATTTATTCAATGGCGGCTGTGGACATTTCCACCAGTCGATTGAACAAAGCAGATGCTTTCCATTTGTTTAATCAAGTGTTTTTTTTTGGGGGGGGGGGCGCTTAGATTTGGTTTTAATATATTAATTTCTTTCAATTATGTTTGAGTAAACTTATACATGAACTTTACGATTACCTTATACAATCTTGCTTCAAATAAAAATTACGTTTGATTATCATCTAATTTATTTACAATTAATAGAGTTAATTATTCCCCGATAGAGGGCTTTTTCAAGAACAAATTTACTTGACTAATTTTACGGTCATATTAAAAACAAAATCACTCCACTAGATTATTGAAAAAATTATGATTATATTTCAACAAAATAAAAATACATACCTGAAATATTGATATATATATGAAATACAACTATATAAGCATAATTAAGATAAGGCCAGTGATGAATAATTAACCACGCATTTTGATATTTTTGGTACCCCCCAAAAAAAAAAAAGGCCACTGATGCTGCTAGTTCAGCTAAAATTTCTTTAAAAAATTGATATACCAGTTACCAGTAGGAATTTGACTCTTTTTATTTTTGAAGGTTAAAAAAGAAAAAAAATACTGGCAGTCATTGAACGAGCAGTAATTTACTGGCAACTCAACTCGCAAGTCAGAATGTTGGAGTCCTACGAAAGCTTCAACGTCACTCATCGTCAGCACCATGGCGGAGGCCAACGCACAGGGAAAGTGCAAAGAGAAGAGGAAGGGAAAACGGTGAAAATGTAACTGCAAATTCACTCACCTCGCTGTGGCACTCCGATTCATCGGGTTCCCGGCCCTTCCGTTTCCGATCTTCAGTCGGAGGTTTCCCTGCATGTTCAGCACCCCCGCTCGAACCCCCCGGAGATGACGTCGCCATCATCTCGCACGTTGTTGTCCCCCTGCAGCCAGTATCTCCGCCGACCGACGTTGTCGAAGGCGCCGCGGCCCCGGCAGTGCTCAGGGTTCCGGGATCCTCATCACGCTTTGTTGGCTCCGCCGAGTTTCTGAAAGCCTCCGAGACTCTGGAAGCCGACGCCATCAAGGCCGGAGTGTCGCATGAATCTACCACCGTCAATTCCTTCATTGCCGTCTTCGAACTCGACGGTCCCGTTTCGACTCTCGCATTGTGTTTCGAGAAGTGCGCGAAGTTCGGTATCATCGTCTGCACCTGCTCCGGCTTCCGTGGAGGTGGAATCGGCGGCCGTGGAGCGACCGACCTCGATGGCTGCCGAAGTTCCGTTGCTTGAGACTTACGGTCAGGATTTTGCATGGAAATGTTATTGACAGCAGGCTGCTGCGGGTAGAGGATGTCGGCGCAGAAGTTATGATCCAAGGGAGGATCATCTACGATGGGATAATGAAGCCAGGAAATCATTTCATCTTCTTGCATGAAGACATGTTGATTCTGATAGTGTTGTTCTACTTGCTGTGAGGGTCGAATCTCACTCGCCGTCGATGGACCGGCTGGAATTACGCTATCAGGGTACCTCTCTGGGTGCGGTTTTCTCTGAGACCGTTGATTCTGGCTCTGCATCACGACCTGGCCGTTTTGCCACAGGAGCTCCATGATGTCGTCCTGGGCCCTGTTTCAATTTTCACTGTTAATTAAAGGAACCAAAACACTCTGAAGAAAATTAACCTGTTCGGAGTTTTTTATTTTGGGAGATTGAAAAGAACTTACACGGAGGGCTTCTTTTGGCGGGGCACCCCAGAAGAAGACGTGGGCATCGGATATTCATCATCATCCATTTCAATTTCGAAATCTGGAACACAGTAATTCATACTGATTCCGTTGAGCTAATTAACAGTAAAAGAGAATTCCTAAAAGGAGAAGGATAATTCATCAGAAGCAATTGACCAAAGCAGAAGCTATCAATTAACAGAAAAAGGAAGCTCACAGGTGCAACTCCCCAGCTAGTCACCATTCACGAGCATACAGTTCTGTGGGTCTGTGAATTGATGGGTGAGAGATATGTGTGGAAATTAATATAGCTGGATACTGGGGAAGATTGAGCGTGGATTGGAATGTATACGAATCAGGGCTAATAATCGGTGGGTAGGGGATGAGAAATCGTGGAAGGATGAATGGGGCAGTTTTGCGGAAAGATTTGGTGTTGGCTGGAAGCTGATGTTTGCGCCTTGTTTGCCCTTTAGCGTTAATTTGGTTAGGGAAATAGAGGGAGCAGCCCCAAAACTCAGCCACAGATAAGATGTCTCTCTCCGAATAATGCGAAGCAAAAGGACGAAAAAGTTTTTTGACGGTTTGTACTCCATTCACCTCTTCTCCTTTCTCAATTCTCACCCCTCTTCTCTTTAAAACCCATTCTTTCTCTGGCCAATAAAATAATGTATTTTTGTATATACGCTTAGCGCTCCCATTTCTGCTTGATCGAGCTAATAATATATGCACATTAAAATGAGCTCTTTTTTGATTTTTTTATTTTTATTTTAGCGTTGCCTTTTTTTTCTTTTGGTTAAAACATAGATATTCTTTTATTGAAAGTAATTCTATCCAGATACTGTAAAATTTAAATTCTGCTAGCGTTGGCTTTCATGAGTACAGAGGTTGTCAGAAGAGGAGGCTGAGGCGGATCCTTTCCGGGGGGCGGAGGTCGCCCCTTGGAGCGCCAAATGGCTAGGTGGGGGGCCCACCTTACTTACTCGTATTTTCAGTACATACGCTTTGCTTTGCCAATTCTACCAACCAGTTTCCCTTTGTGAACTTCTGCTACTAATATTATTACTATAACAAAAAGAGTGTTTAGTAACTCTTAAAAATATTTTTTAAAAATATTTTTTTATAAAATGAGACAAGTTTTTTTATATATTTATTTTGTAAAACATAAAAATATTTTTAAAATTATAGTTTGATTTCTATTCAAACACCTTCTAAAATATTGTTAATTTAATTATTAAAGAACAAATGTTTTTAATTTAAACATGCTGGCATCGCCCAGCGTTGCTTTACGTTTTATGGGGAGAGAAGCGAATCTCGGTTCCCAGGTATGCTCCTACCAATTGATTATATTCCTATCTTTTATTAGTGGCTCACGTTGATGGATAAGTTTATTACCCACTTATGATGTGGCAAAACAAAGCTTTTTATTCCCATTAAGTTAGTTTTCTTTTTGCCTCCCACCATCTCCTTATTATGAAGCTTATTTTTAAGGTACAAATAGAAGATTGATTTAAATACTTAAGTCGGGTGATGAAGTTTGCTTTGCTTTAATACTTAAGTCGGTGCAGTAAAAGATATCTTATTTTTTAATTCTTAGCATCTAACTCTAAGTATTAAAAAAAAAGGGGAAATTTGCGATGATGATTATTGTATTAATATTATTGTGACTGTATTCTTCTCCAAATAATTTAAATCGGATAAAAAACATTAGTATTTGTCTAACTTTATGTCCTTCTATCCTGTTGATTAAAAATTGTTATCTTCAAGATGGGAGGTCAGTTTGCATCTTCGCTGATTATTTAATTATTTTGTAAATAAAGAAAATAAATAATAGGGCAATATATATATTTATATCATTATCAAGGAGATCCACATGTCATTTTTTATAAATGTGAGTGGCCAAAAATGGGCTGCGCTTCTTTGCTTATTTACAAGGAAAAGAAAACCGGACCGGACCGGCCGGTTCAACCAGAAAACCGGTGAACCGGTCCAAAGTCCGGTCTGGTTTAAGCAGAAAACCGGTCACCTGTTGAACCGGAAAGTAACCGGTCAAGCCGGAATTTAACCGGTGAACCGTCCGGTTCGGGGGTCAACCGGTTTAATATTTTCCTCCTCCCCAAATCTAAAACGACGTCGTCTAATGCTTAAAAGGAAGGAGAAAAAATCGAACAACAATGTTGTAGCAATTCCCTCGGTCCCTCCCTCCCGACCAGACCCCAGACCAGAATGGGGAAATAATAAGTCCATCTGAAAATTAGAGAAAGAGGGAGAGAAAGCAGAGAAGGAAAATAGAGGAAGAGATAAAAAATAACTTACTGGAAGAGAAAACTCTTGAAAAATTATGATGAAAAATGAAGTGAAAACCTTCTTTTAAAAGGTAGAGAGCATGGAAGAGGGAAGAGAATATGCTTCAAGAGGCGGGCACTTGAGTTTTGTTGTGTGGGATGAAGATCGGAAAATTGAGAGAGGAAGGAGCTCTGATAAGGCCACAGTCCCAGGATTTGAAATGAAAATGAGAAGGCAGAAAGGCATTAATGACAGAAGGGAAGGGCACCATGAGTACTCTATTTCCAGTTGCAGGCATTGATTAGCACGTTCACGAATTTAGAGGGCCATTCAGGTAATGTGTTGCAGGCACTATGAGTAGTTGAGTACTTGTATCTCCCTTTTTCGCTTTCCAAAGCCTAGTCATCCGCTCCCTATGTTCACTTAATGGGATACTTCTAAATATTATTTTTATTAAAATATTTTTATAATAAAAAATAATATTTTTGAAATTTTATTTAAATTATATTTTTTTAATAATTACCGGTCTGACTCCGGTTCAACCCCGACCTGACCCATTAACCCTTAACCCACTATCTCAACCGGTTTAGTGTCCGGTCCGGTTTTTTGTTCCTTGCTTATTTACGTGCATGCGGTCTTCTCAAACTCAGCAACTCAATCATACACGTTGAAGTTTTGTTGGCGCAGTCACACTTGCCGCTACTTGCTACATATAATTCACACACGCACACACGCACACACAAAGATATAAAAATAATTCAGGCCCAAAAATTATGTTATAATTAAATGAACAATCAAAATTTTTTTTTATGTCTTGAGAAAAATTTCATTAATAATTAGGATTGGTAGGAAAATTAAAACATATAAAATATTTGTTTAATTTGAACTTTTATTCTACATAGAATAGCAGTAGTATTATTATCCAATGAAGAGAGAGGGTCAAAAAGGAGTGATGAGATTAATCAGAGTAAATCACTCATCTCTTTTTAACTGGATCTTCTAATCATTGGAGAGAATTGTTAATTGTTTAACATAATCATTGCTGTTTTCTCCCGCCAACTTTGATTGTTTTTTTTTTTTAGCCATAGATACATAAACTACGATAAACATAATAGTTGCCAAAAAGTTGGCAAGAAAAGTCGCCAAACAAATACATCATTTTTTTCCAACATATGTTAATACATATTATACTGGTATATCTACATTTAATACAAAATTGATAATACTGTCTTTATTTAAAAATCATGAACAATACAATTTACTTTAAAGTTTAAACTTAACATGCTACAAGAGTGGATGGGTGTGTCTTAAAAGCGTAAAATCAAAGGAAAATCACTTCGGTTAAAAAAGGAATAAAAGTAAAAAATAAAAAATAAAAAAAAACTAACGGTCACCAACACACAGAAAAAATGACATATATGCCTCCAATTCCGTGAACACCACCTTTGCTTTCTTTTTATATTTCCAAGTTATTGATGTAAAATTAAAGCTGGGTATAACTTTTATATCTTTGATTGGTATTTATTTTATTAATTAAAGTATAAAGAATTTGATTTTCAAAAATAACATTTATATATAATGTAGACGATGTTCTTGAAAACTTTGTTTAATGTTATGTTTGAATTACAATAAATAATAAATATACAAAGAAATTACTGTTTTTGTTGTTTGTTTAAATAGTGTACATGCTCAATCATTTAGATTACTATACAAATGGATGAGAAACGACAACCAAATTGAGCAAGCTGGAGACAATAGTAGACAATATTGTCTTGGCCTTGTTTGATCATGAAGTCTAGGCCAAGCATGTCAATTCCTATAGATCATTAATTGTGATTTCTACTCAAAGGACAACATGTCCTCTCCAAATTATTGATATACATCTAAAACATCATAATTATCGTCTTAGGACTTTTCTGGCAATTCAAAGCTGACAGCCTTAACTTCAGCATCAGCACAAGTTTCTGCTGTGATTTGAAATGCATGACCAGAAACATTAACATGAATTACCAGTAAAAAATATGAAAAACTTTTAAAAAATGATTCACGAATAAGAACGGATAGTGTAATTTGTTATCCATAAAATTTCTTGAGAAAATACGCACTACTTTAGAGGATCAAGCTAATTAAAGGGTCATAATCACACTTGAAAGGACAATAACATGTCCCTTTAGTATAAGGAAAATGAAAGAAAATTTTTTAATAACCTTAATTTAAAAAGTTTAAAAAGTGAAGTTATAAATTTTAATTAAAAAAATATAAGATAAAAGAGTAAAAAAAAAATCAATTAAAAACTTTCAACCTTTAATGTCCAATTTTTTAAATCGAATTCATTAAAATTTCTTATTTCTCCTCCCTTTTTCTTGTCCTAAACAGACTTTTAGGAGATGTTTGGATGGAAACCAAACCGTGGTTTCAAAAATACTTTTACGATTTACGAAATAAATATGTAGATGAGTTTGCCCCGTCTTACGTAAAAGTACTGCAACCCCCTAAGTCGAAGACTTTAGAGTAATGTTGAGGAAAGTTCTTAAATATATGTGTGTGTGTGTGTGTGAGTTACGTAATCACATGGTTAATAGAAGGTTTTTTGACTTGTTTAACCTATATGAGAGAGTTTTATGTGTAACATGGATGAACGACTGAAATTAAAGTTTAAGTTTTTTTGTAATATTTTTTGTCAATTAAATTTTTCTACAACCTCATGAAAATTAGGATAACAATAATAATAGATTTGTTCATAATAGCAGGAGAAAGTGTTGGAATCACGGTGGGCACTGCATAACTAATGATTAGCATGATTAAGTAATAATTAATATGATCTAAGAATGGAATCAGGAATTGCGGCAGACTCCATTATACAATCAATGAAAGATATATAAGTCAAAGTTACGATTATATAATATAAGCTGAGCTAAACATGCATTATATCATACAAACTAAGCCAAGCATGCAATCAGAGACTTAGAAAAGGAAGCATGACGCATGTACGTATAACGCTTAGCTTTAATTCAAAAGGTAGCCGAAGCAAAGTAAACAACGACATCAAAAACAACAATAATACTCTCTTTTATCTTTTAAATTTGAAACCAGTAATTTTAGTTCTTAAAATTTAGTTTTATTTTAGTTTTGGTTGTTGTTTTAAGAACTAAAAATCTTAAGCCGGGTCAAAATAAAGTCAAATTTCAGAAATAAAAATCAAAACA